AAAGCACTCCCCAGCCCACCCCAGCAGGGCCCAGGAAGAGCAGGAGGGGACCAGCCCCCCCGCCCCCAGAAGGTTCTGACACTCAGGAGCTTTGCACAGGAGCCTCTAAGTTAGGAACTCAAGGCAGCTTCCTAACATCCTTCCAATCCAGGAAAGAGGGGAACCTGGATTTCCCAGAGAACCACCTGGGAGCCCTCCTGTATCCACTGCCAGCTGGCTGTGCCACTCTGGCTTGGCCCTCCTCACTTGTCTTAGGGTCACTGTGAGACAGCACAGGGTGGCCCCCACCGCGGGAACACACAGCCAGAAAGGCCTTTTCGCTTCTGAGAAAAGGCCATTCCAACGGCCCTCAACAACCACCACTTCATATTTTAAAATGTGCAAATACTTTCCTCAAAAAGACAAAATTAAGAACTTAACGTAAGCAAAAATTCATACTAATACACAAACACACACACACCCATTGTGTTAAACTGTGTCCTCCATGTCCTATGACCAATAAAAAGATTATTGAATCCTGCAAGTTATTACTGGTGTATTAATTACTTTCATCTAACATACCCCACCTTGGAGAATGGGTCCCTCCCATTATCACGCAAGTACTCAATCACATGCAATTCCAAAGAAAACCTTAGTAATGATGTAAGAATGCCACAGACCCATCAGCACCTCCACACTCCAACACCTACGCCTCCAGTCACTTTTTCCAATCTAAATGGACGTGAGACAGAAGCTGTGCAAGCAACCAGCAACACTTTTTTTTAAGTTACCTTAACTGAAATCTAGTCTTCACAGAACTTTAAACACATCGACTTCCACTGCGAGAAACATCCACCAAATAAATTTGCTCCACCCTAGACCTGAGGACACTCAGGGCTGGCATGTCAGTCGGTTATCACTCCAACCTCCATAAATCTCTTCTTACTCTGCACACCCTAGCTTGCTTTCTCCCAGAGTTCACTAAAGCACACCAACCTAATTAACAACAGCTTCCTCTGCGACACCGGCCCTGATTTCACTTATTTACACATTAACTGCAGCCTCCTTTTGGCCTATTCTCTCCACCATGCAGAGCCTTTTATCTGCCCTGGACAGCATTTTCTCCAGCAGATAAAGTAGATGCCGATTGATTTGCTGTCGAGCATGGTAAATTAATAGCAACAAATTGCTGAGGGCCCGTCTCCCTGCTCCACCATGCTTCGGTAGTTTTGCTTTATTTGCTCCATGATGGGCAGCAGTCGGCCTCTTCAAGTCAATTTCTTCTTAACAACCTGCAATACTTTTCAATGGTGAAAATAGAGCTGTTCCTTGTAAGTCAGAAATCAATATCCTATTGCCCTTAGAAAATGCTAAACAAGCAGTATTGGCAATCCACTTGGTACTAGAGGGTATCAGATATAATGCAAATCCATACTGCTTCCCTCCTTGTAGTTATTACACTTTGCTAAAAGGTTCCTAATGTCATTTATCATCATTTACCATCGACCAAAGAGGCCATGATTATGATATCCTATCAGTTGGCAAGGCCCTTTCATTTCTATTCAATTAATATTTTAGCAGCACTCAAACGGTTGTGGCCCAAGTCTTGTAATAAAATTTACATGGCTTGGATTGAAACTGGAATTTTCTTCCTTTGATTAAAGAATAATTATATACACACACACCCCAAAAAACACAATGCGCGCACCCAAAATACACGCATAAGTATTCACGCAAAAATGTGCAGTGTTCACGTTCAGATTCTAAAGTGTTACGCATTTCTAAAATGTCATGATCTCAAAAATTCAAATACTAAACCAAGAGAATTGGGATTTCAGAATACTAACTCTGCGGGAGTCATGAGACGGTCTCTTTTCAATTCAAAACGTGCTCTCATCCACTCTTCTCCAGGGCGAAGGCACACAGCACCCACCCTCACCCACGTGCACTTTCCAACTTGGGGAAAGGTAACTGCTGCCATCACGTCCCAGCCGAGAGGATTTCTCTATTTACAGCCTGCCAGGTGAAGGTGCCGCATCAGTGGGCTTTAGCAATGGTATCAACTCCACGTATCACATGTTATGGACCCACTTAAAAGCCGCAGGGGATTTCAAAGAATAATCAGTAACCCCAACCCACCTGGGCAGGCCAACTGGTCAAAAACCAAAGAATAAAAACCTCCCACATTTCGGGAAAATCCGTAGGGTATAAAGAGTTGTGTTCTTTCATTTTTAAAAATGTCATTCTGAAGACAGCATGATAAAACATGTGCTATTTCTAACCAGGTCCTATTTGTCATCCTCGCATTCATGCCCCAACTTAAGACACCAGTGAAGCATTAATTCCCATTAGGGCCTAGAACATTCCACCCAAACACTTTTGGACTGTTCAAGTTCATCTGCTCAGCTATATCAATTCTACCAAAGATTACCAAAAATTATATTCATATTTTATGCTCCAATCCCATGTCATGGTCACCAAATTCCCCTTTAAAAAAAAAAATCCACTGATTCTACCAGAGTAATGCTATTTACTCAGTTACCAAAATTTAAATTAATTATGTTCTCAAACATAATTGTTAAAAATTGGCAACATTATGCAGGCTTAATTAAGATTAAATCCAATTTACTAAATGTACTTTAATTGGTACTAATTACATTAGCTTTCATTTCAGAATGACAAACTCCCCATAGGCTTCACTTTATAGTTCTCTATCAGAAGCAATACAGGGTGACGGATGCAGAGCATCATCATGGGGGGGGTGGTGGCACCAGTCCCCCCCCATTTGTCTGCTTCACACTTTCACCCTCTGATCAGTTTGCTAAGGCACCACAGTCATGCCTCCATCACAGCCATCATTTTCTGTTCCAATGAAAAATTTCTCTAAAAATAAATACAGCGTGGCTGGCCGCGGCCAAGAACAGGGGCGTGAACCAAAAGATACACAAAGGTTTCAAATAGCAGGGCCACCAATTACTCGGGGACTTCCAAGGACTCCTGGGACTCCTGCTCTGGAGCCCTCTGAGACACAAATATAATAAGTGAATAAGCCTAACCCGATCTTGAGAACTAAGCCCAATTACGCCGTGAGGCAACCTCTCTGCATTACTGCTGCTTTCCATTACCCGGGGACCCAGCGAGCGCATCTGGAGGAGAGGCTGAGAGGAACTAAGGCTGTCTGCCCAGGAAACAAATAAAGACAGATATGCCTCTGTGCTTAACGGGGAGAAAGAAAGAAAATATAATAAGTAGGTGGTTTGCAGGGCTGTCTGTATTTCATAATGTGATAAACTGCCCTCAGGATTCCTGATATGATTGAATTTAAAAGCAAGGAGGGGGGGAAGGGAAAAATGTACTCTTCTCAATTTTAAATGGATGGCACTGGAGGCCAGCAGCCGGACAAGAAGATGACAGAATTATAGAGGAATAAAATGTGTAAACTTAAGGGAGCCACACACTACCTCCCTTCCAAAAAGGAATTACACACAAATACGAGCTATTTGCTTTTTAGCAATGGAGATGGCATGAGACCTGAGCGGTTATGACAAACCAGGCACAGATGAATGCGAAATAAAGGGATATGAGCCCTCTGGTTCAGTCTTTACAAAGACATTGATACCGGGAAGAGAGCAGGACCACAAAGCAAAGCTAAAATGAAAGGCAACGCGGCCCATCCGCTGACAGCATCATTCATGTAATTCGCACTGTAAGGCAGGCCCAAGGACATCCGCCCACTGGCTTCAGCAGGTTCTGTTCCTGCAAGCAATATTTGTACTTCTCAGCTTCACCATAATGGCAAAGATTCCAAAGGAAGAATTCAACTTAGTTAAACCACACCAAAGCGTTCATACCGCCTTAGTCCACTGGTGCGAACACCAAGTCCTCACGGGACTCAAGCCCCACGGCTCCCAGGGCCATTCAGGTTTTCCAACACCAGGATCGCCTCCGCCAACAACCATGCTGTAAAGCTCTACCACCTGGGTGCACGCGGGCTAAGACATCCACAGGAGCAATCCATCAACAGAAACAGCCCAGTACTACACTTCACTTCCTACTTTTTAAACTTAGAAGTAATGACATCCACCCTTAACAGAAATGAGATGAGAAGCATGAAGTTTTTCATACACACACACACACACACACACACACACACACACACACCCATTCCAAAACCGCCGAGACTAGAAGCACTTCCACTACATCACTGCAAACCAATGCTTCCTAAGGGACTCATCTTTGCCAAACAGTATTTTAGAGACAGAGCTGTCTAGGAAACGTAAGTCAAACCATTTTAGTCAGTCTACTGTGAAAACAAAACAAAAGCTGGCGTGGCAACTTGGAGTCTAAGCTCTCAACACTTTCCAACCAAACATTGAGGTTTTTTTGTTTTTTTTTTTTTTTGATGCTGAATTAATTGCTAGATTTGAAGACCAGGCGTTGAATCTGGCCATGTCTTCCTAAGCAGGCTCACTGGCACTTTCAATTTTGGAAGGAAAGGGCACCGTTCCTGGTAAGACCCAACTCAGCCGCCTGGGGCACCGGCACAGGGATTTGACGCTCATTTCTCTCCCAGCCCCAAAGATTTATTTCTGATCCTCCCAGCTCACCCTCGACCCATTCCCTCACATCGCGCCAAGCAGGTCTCCATATAATTTCCACTTTGACTTTTGATTGTTCTCCGAGAAAAGCTAGCTCATAAGACAAGTTCGCAACGCCCAATGTATATAAAGCAACTCTTCCGAAACATCACCTGTCTGAAAATTCAGCACTCTGGATTCTGAACAGTATGCAAAGACACATCTGCAAGTAGGAGAGCGCTTTTGAAAAGGTTCATATTAGGGCGATATAGGAGATACAGAGACACATGAAAAAACAGCACGCTCTCCAGAGCCTGGTCTTTCAAAACACACATAGCCATGACCACATTCAGAATACAACGGCAAAATATCTCATTTTCCTTTCAAAGTGAGCCCGTGTGACTGACCGTCATCGGACACGGCGATGAAGATATGGTAACTCACCTGTTTGTGCATTTCTATGTTCAACCCATAGGACATTTCATAATACTGCGAAAGAAAGGAAAACCATTAGCCATGTGCCTTTCACCAATTTCCCCAGTTCATTCAAAATGCCCCAAGTCTACTGAAAACAAATACCTCACCTATACAATGATACCCACAAAACCGATTCCAAAAAAAAAAAAAAAAAAAAAACCACAGGGGAAATGCAATCACAATCTTTAGCCTAAAAACCTAGAAGTCGCCTTAACCCACAGGCTCCAAGAGAACAGCTCTCAAAACTTAACAAGAAAACACTGAATCGAAATACAGTGGCATTTGCAACAGTCTTCGGAGATGCCCAAACGCCACGAGCCTCCAAGCCCAAAAGATATGCTGGCACCTCGGTGCCACACCGACGCTTCCCCCCTGCAGAAACTCGCCTTTCACAACTGTTGCTGGTGCCCACACGGGACGTGCACAGGTGACACGGCTTGAGGGGCAGCCGCCTCCTGCTCACCTTCGCAGAGCCAAAGTGCTCCAGGGAAACCCAAGGCAAGAGTTACTCAAGAGCCCTGGGCACAGCCATGGCCGTCGGCTCCTGGTGTAACTGGCACTGCGGCAATGCTGGCAGAAGTCAGGTACACAGGAGACGGGACTGCTCAACTCAACAGGATGCGCCATGAATCGGAAGCACACACAAACACAACAGTCATGCATTTCAAAAGGGATGCGATGCCTCTTCCTGGCCATCACTCGTTCAAAGACACGAGACACATGACAAATGTTCATCATATACAGAAACATCGTCTGCTGAAGACTGGAGCAAGCGCAATAAAACAACAAAGAAAACCACTAACAAAAACATTTTCCTTGGGACTAAACAAAACATAAATGGAGGTTTTGTTTTTAAATTTTTTTTTTCAATCTGCAAAAACAAAACACAGAAAATTCTACCCCATGCAACCGAGTTGTCAAAGGCCAGTTGGTTGTCAAAGGCCAGCTGGAACATCCTAGAATCACAGGTTGCTCCTGGACACGGCCCCTGGGATCCACCCTGCAGCCTGCAGCCAACTGAAATAGTCTTGCTTTTGGTATCCCAAACTACCAGGCACCCTGGGTCCCGGGCAGGCTTACCATGACGTAGTGCCGCTGCATTTCTGTCTTCTCACTGGCCAGTTTCTCACATTCCAGCTTCAGACTGTCCAAGACAGAAGGCAATGGCTTAGTGGAGAACTCAACCTACAAAGCCGCACCCCCCCCCAAGTCCCCACCTGCGCCACCTCTCTCCAGGCCCACCTTCACTACTGGAAAGGAGGCAGCGAGGGAGGGTGGCCCATGCCAGTCTCAACTGTCCCTTCAAGGAAGAAGGAAATGCAGGCTTTTTCTGATCTTTAAGTTTTAAGGAAATAAACCCCCTAGTGACTCTGAGGCTCCAGTTTCACACAGAATTGAATATCCACTGCACTCATTTTACGAAAAAAAAAAAAAGGAAATAAGCAGTTTAATTCCACATGCAAGCGCATCAGAAGCCTCGCACAATGTCACAATACAGTGTGGCTCACTGAAGAGAGGTTCAAAATATGAATCAAGCATGTCTTACAACGAGGGCTCTTTCCTTTCCCTCCAAAACACACAGGCAGGCTGAAGACCAACACCCAGAGGCAACGCGCCCAGGGGGTCCAGGGCCTTGCGCATCACTAAAGGAAGCAACACTTCCCAGGCACTCTCCCCGTGACCTCCAAGGCGCACACTCTTTCTCGGCACAGAAGTCATGAAATCGCCCCCTCGCGCTCTCCCAGGCGCCTGGCTCTCCCGGTGGCCAGGCAGCAAGAAGCCCGGAGTAATAATAAAGAACCGAGCAAGCGAAAGGGCCCAGGATCTCCCAAGCTCCCATCCTCCTGGCCCCAATAAATCAATACTGAAAGTTTGGCCTCAGCATTTTCCAAGTCTCCCCAGTTTCGATTGTTCTGACTCCCTGGTTTTGTTTTTTCTTTTCTAATTTACCGGAGAGGAAAAAAAAAAAAAAAAAAGAAATGCTTCATTTCTTTACATCTGCCTTTAGAGAAAAAAGGCCGTTTGACTTGACCTTTCCGCCCAGAGGGAAAAAATGCTAATAATACCTTTGTAGTAGTCAAAAAAAAAAGGGGGGGGGGAGATAAAAAGAGTCGACAGAAGGGGGGTGTTTGTGCGTGGGGAGGTAGGAGAGCCAGGCGAACAGCTCAAGTGGGCATCCTTACCTGTGGTACTGAGCCTGTAAAAACTGAAACTCCTCCTTAATCCGATCACAGGATTCGGAAATTGTAAATTTAAAGGGTTGAGCGGGCTGATGCGGTGCCTAAAGAACAACAATAAAATATTTAATTAGCCCCACATCACAGGCGAAGCAGGAGTCGGAGAAAACACGGCACGCGCGGCGGGGGCGGGGGGCTCGGCGCCCGCAGCCAGCCGAGGGGGGGGGGACGCACGAGCAACTCTCCTCCCGGGCCCTCCGCTCGCCCCGCAGCCGGGACAGGGGCTGGCCCGGGCACCCCTTCCACCCACCCACTGACCCCCCGGGCGGGCTCCCCGAGCCCCGCGGCCCCGCACGCACGCAAGCAAGCACGCGCGCGCGCGTCCCGGACCCCGCGGGTTCGAGCCCAGGCTCCCCTCCCCGGATGACCAGCAGCCCCGGGGCGCCCAGGGGCCAAACGCGCCGCGCCCACCCGGAATCGAAACTGGCCCGTCGGGGGGACCCGCGCCATGGCGTCCAGCCGCGGTCAGCGCCGGGGAAGGGGGCGCGGCCGCCACCCTCTGGCTGGCCGGCCGGCTCTCCTCTCGGCCGGCCGCTCCGGGGGCCCGCGGCGGCCCGCACTCGGAGCCGGAGCCGGCCCGGCAGCGGCAGGAGCGGCAGCGGCAGGAGCAGCAGCAGCAGCAGCGGCGGCGGCGGCGGCAGCGGCAGCAGCAGCAGCACCGCCGCCGCCGAGGGCGCCCTCCCTCCCCGCCCCGGCGCGGAGTCGCGCCTCCTCCATCGCTCGCCACCCCCACCCCTCCTCCCTGCGCAGGGGACGGCCACGGCTCGGCGCGGCTTCCAGGGGGGCTCGGAAGACAACAATAAGAAAATGGCTACAAGTCCATCGCCCGTGCTCGGCGCCCCCACGCCCGCCGGGGCCAGGGGGGCGCAGGGGGAGCTGATGGCGGGCGCCGCTCTCCACGCCCCTCGGGCCGGGCGCGCGCCGAGGTGCAAGGGGGGCGCCCCGGGGACCCCCCGACACGCACTCACCGGGTGTCTGGTCTGCGGGTACATCTTGCTCAGGTCGCGAATCATCCAGAAGCCGATCTAGTGGGCTGCGCCGGGCCGAGGCGCGCGGCTCATCGGCTTTAATGGCCCCGAGGAGGAGGAGGAGGCGGCGGCGGCGGCCGGCTCCGAGGGGAGAGGCTCCGGGCGGGACGCGGGCGGCTGGCTGCCGGCGCCCGGGCTCGCTCCGCATTCCCCGCGGGGCCGTCAGGGACCCCCGGCCGGCATGGTCCGCCGAGGCTCCGGCGCCGAGGCTCCGACGTCCGTCCGCTCCTCCCGGGCCCGGCCGAGGAAAGTGCGCGCTCCCCGCGCTCCGCCCGCTCCTCGCTCGCTCGTTCGGCGTCCCACTCCAAACTTTCTTTTTTTTTTTTTTTGTAATTTGTCTTTTAATTGGCTGTTATTCCTCCGAATGAATGAGCTGGCTCCTTCCCTAAAGAGCAAACACAAACTCCTTTGCTTCCGAAGAGGTCTCTCGGCGGTGCTTTTTTTTTTTTTTTTTTTGGTTTCTCTGGAGATTTTTTTTTTGTTTTCACTTCACAGCAACCATCTTTTCAAAAAGGCACCTTTTAGCTTCTTTTACCACATCTCATTTCCTTATTTTTCTTCCTTCCTGTTTTGAACCCCAAATTGAAGGGGATTATAAAAAAAAAAGTGAAACGCTTGCGGCTTTTTTTTTTTAATTCTCTCTCCCTTCAAACTCCACGAACAGCACCTCGAAATAATATACAAGTGTGTGAGAGAGAGAGGGGGGAAAAAAGCAGCCAACAGCACAAACACCGGCTCCTCACAGCTCTAACAACACGCTCTGTGTAGGTGACTTCTTTGACCAAATTTAGCAGCAGCTAATCATTAACATTCTGATACATATTCACAACCGTCCGTGGAGGGGCCGCGGAGCATCCCGGGAGATGTAGTCCTCCCCGGGCAAGCGCAGCGCAGAATACGGCCTAGATTGACTACAATCACCGGCCGGCCACGCGACCGCTGTGGGGCGCTCTCCAAGCGCCCCGCCCCTCCGCGGCGCGGCAGGCGTCTCCGGCAGCCAATCAGAGGTGGCTGAAGATTAATCGCCGTTCTGTGTTACTGCCCATCATTTCACCGCTGACAAATGGCGAGGCCGAGAGGCGGAGCCGACGGGGAGGCGGGGGGCTGGATCCCACGTGGGGGCCGGGCGGCGCCCGTGGCTTCCCACCAATCAACGGCACGGGAGCTCTGTGGAACGGGGAGGGGTGGTTGGCGGGGAAGGCCCGCCTCCCCTGGTGGGCGGAGCTTCGCCTTGGCTGCCGTTCCCGAGCGCGAGCGTTCGAACCGGGGAAACATTTGTTCAGCTGTCAATCAAAGTAACGTGGGACCGGGCGCGCGGCGACGGCGGCCTGGCCGCTTCCTGAGAACGAGGTGTCGGAGGCGGCGGCGGGAGGAGGGCGGCGGGGGCGGCGGGAGTGCAGGCCGGGTCCACCCCCAGCCCGCGCCGGGGCCGCGTCCGGAAGGCGCGCTCATTAGGGTCCCATGTCTTCCTAAAGAGACAAGCTCGGCCTTGTGGAACGCGCCGCGGCCCCTGTGGAGACGGGGGAGAGGGGAGGCTCCGTCCCGCCCGCCCCGCTCGCCTCACGTCCATTTTCCGCGCCGCTGGAGCCGGCCTGGTCCTTCCGTGTGGACGCCGCCTCGTTGGGCGTGGGGCTGGCGGGGGGCAGCTGAGACCCGGGGCGGAGGAGCGGCGTGCGGCGGGCCCGAGGCGCCGCGGCCGTGGCTGTGCGACCCCGGGGCGAGCGGGCCGCCTTCCTCGGCCGCCCCGGAGGGGACTGTCCCCGCGGTTTCCCTCGCTCACGAGGCCGCCTGGCCTCGAGGGACAGAGTGCGTGGGACGCGGGCTGAGAGGATGGGGGCGCCCCGTCACCGCGGGGAAGGAGGCCGCCGGGGCGGTCGGCGACGCCTCAGCCGCAGCCCTGGGCGCCTTCCCCGGGGGGCACGGGTGGCCGCCTGGGCTCACCGCCCCTCCGGAGAACCTCTAACCTTTGGTGCAATCCCAAGGGTTCTGAACGGGTCCAGGCCGAGGTGGTGCTTGCTGTTAATTCGGCGAGGGTGGCAGGAAACCTGGTTGGTTGGTTGGTTGGTTTCTCTTAGGAGACAAATCATCCACTTGCCCATCCTAGCCACTGGTTAGGTGGCCCTGCGCCTCTCGATTCCCGCTTGAACCTGAGCAGCCCACACCGCACGTATCCGCTCAATCCCAGTAGTGTGTCCTGCATCCCCCTGAAATAAGCACGCGCCTCAGCATCACCCCGTCTCATGCTCGAACCGTCCAGCAGGACGTGAGCATATACGGGGTTTTGAGGAATTGATAGGGAGTGGAGTAGCGTTGAAATATTTTGAAATCGTTAAAATATATTTCAAAAATTCATCTCTGCTCTTTCCTTTTTTTTTTTTTTTAAAGCCTGGCGTTGGCCAGAGTTAAAATTACTTTAATGTGGCTCAGAAACATTTCCTTCCCCCAGATCAAAAGTTAAAAGGCTTGAGTGATGCAGTTTCTATCCTAGGATAGGAACAGTCAACTTTTATTCCCAGCTCTGTTCTGTGTTCCTCTTGGAATGTTTCAATAGTTTGTCTACATCACCCACAGTGTGTCTGTTCAAAGTTCCCTGTTCAAATGTTACCGAGTTTCGTGAGAACAGAAACATCATTGTTTTGGGTTGGTTACCAGATGCATATAGCTGGTGCTCAGTAAACACTTCTTGAGAGCATCAACGCATAAACATCACTTTGTGTAAAAAAAGATGCTGCATGGATGGGACTATAGTAATTGAAATTCTGCACAGTTACTTCCCAGGACAGGAAACAAGAATACAAGAATAGAATCTGAAAGGGTCAGTGGACAAGGGGAAAGCTTTGCTTGCTTAGGAAATCGCAAACAGCTTGGAACAAGGACTTTTTTCTCTGCAACTCTCCCTACAATTTGTGTCAACAAAAAAGTGGCCAGAGAAATCAGGATGTTTATTGTTTTTATTAAGTCTGACGTTAAAATACAATGTTTGAGTCTATTTCGCGCTTTGGCAGGCCAGCAGCAGATCCGCGGAACCCCGAGGACTGGCTCAGACACCAAGCAGCTGGTGCTGCCTCGGCCCAGGCACACCTGAGCAGGCTCGGGGCTGCTTGGGTCTTCGCTGGGCTTGTCCCACTGCGCTTCTCACTATCAGCTGAGCCAGGCCGAAAAAATTAGTGGGGTTTAACTTAGCCCTGCTAGAGTCAGGGGCCTGTTCTTGCGCTGGAAGCCAGGCCTATGCTAAGCAAACAGTTTTCACTTGGGTTCGAATTAAATCTCCAATTACTGAACTCCCCCCCACATGTTCCAATCTGGGAGTTAGCCGTAGGCATAGCTATGGTTGCTTGTGTCTTTTCTCTGCTTTATACTCATCAGCCTGCTCGGTCAAAATGAATCTGGGCCTCTCAGACACGTTTCCAGTTCATGTATTTCCACCAAGAGCCCTGGGAAAACTTAAGCAGGAGTAGTCACTTCCTGGTTCTTGGGGCGGTTCTGCAGGTTCCTAAGGGCAGGCCCCCCAGGACAGGCCCCGAGCAGCTGCCTCCTGAATCGCCTGGGGCGGCTGTGAAGTACCTGTGAGAGAGAGACCTCCCTGAGCAGCTTGCCCTGAGGGTCTGGGGAACGGAACGGGCGCCTGTCAGGTCCTGCAGTATGGATCTCAGAGGGCAGATTTCTGGCATCGTCCACCTGCTGCCCAGACACCTAGCCCTTGGACCCTTCATCAGCATCTGCGGCTGCGTCCTGGGGCGCGTTGGAGCATCCCAGGGGCTCTTTTTTTAGATGCTCTGTCTTAACCCTGGGTGTAGAGCCTGCTCCTTACATGGGAGGCCTATGCATTCTTTAGGGCATCCTGTTTAGCTCTTGGTTTACCAAATCCTTTGGCTCCAATTCCCCGTGATAGGTAGTCATTTTATACTGCTCTTTTCTTGTTCAGATGACTATGTGTTTCCCAGACCAATTCGCTAAAGAAAATAAGCTCAGTCTCTTCCTTCCTGGGGCTTACATACTGATGGAGGGGGGCAGTGAAACAAGCAGCAGTGTCCTATGAAAGTGACGGGAATGTGATGCGGGGAATAAAGCGCAAATAGAAGAGAGCTCCTTCACAGGGGAGGTTATGGAAGGCTTCCCAGAGGAGGTGACATTTCAGCAGATGCTTAAGTGTCAGTTGTCTGTCAAGGCAAAAAAAACAAAGAGAATCAAATTTCACTGGCTTCCGAGGCCTCATGTGAGGAAGCGTTTGTGCATATGAGGATATGTTTATGGATATATTTGATCTACCTGTTTGTGGGAGAGGGAATGCACTCAGGCCCACTGGTTCGTTTCCCACAGGCTAAAGTGCAGTGAGGAAAGCTGGAGCCAGGAGCTCACGGTGGAACCATCACCTGGCTTCTTCCCAGGGCCCACATTAGCGGGAACCAGAGGCCGGCCTCAGATGTCCTAACAGGTGCCTTTCCCCTTGAAGATGTTTTCAAAACTGTTAAGCTCCAGAGGGGAAAAAACTTAAGCCCTCCAGATTAGACATAGCCACATCCGGGGTCCAGGATACATGGAGACTTTTATTTTTTTCTTTTGAATGCTGTGCAAAGCCATTTGGAGGGAGCAAGGAGTGTCGGGGATGGCAGCATCGCTACAAATAGCAAAATGGTCTTCAGCTGCCTGCATTCGTACTTGACTGAGGATGAAAAAAGCATCCCTCTCCATATGTAAGAGGTAATCTGTTGTTTTAATTTGGGAGCAGCTAATGAAGCTTTGGGAGGAACCTGACCTGCCTCCCCTCCAATCTCCCCTTCATATTGACACTTCCTTACCTGTACTAGGGAGTGATGGAAGATTTTTTTTCAAATGAGATTAGAAGCTCTCCTGTGCAATTCAGAAATAGCAAACTGCACTTGGAAGCAACACCTAAAAGAACACGGATCATACAGTATGAATCAGCCATAGACTTGCTCAGTAACTGACTTGTCACCACCCTCCTGTGGCTAAGATGGGTTAGGGTTAGGAGGCCAGCTGCCTCTATGTTCAGTGTGGGGTTGGCCAAGCCATCTTCATGTTGCTTGATAAAATCCACCTGTTGCCTTATTTTGTGGAGACGGGACAAAGTGTTATTGGTACTAAGGAGGCTTCTGGGAGAAAAAAACTTGCCCTGTTGGAGTGCTCTGAGATGGGAACCCCTTGAGGCTGTCTCTGGTGGCGTCTGCTGGCAGCAAGGACCACGACAAACTTTGTGTTCCCTCCCGGGGTTAGCATGCAGTCACCGTGGGGCACCTAGCTAACACTGAGGTCACTGGGAGAGGGGCCATGTGACTCAACTGCGCACCTGCAGTAGTGGTGCGAGAAGTCTGGGTTCTTCGCCTGCTGAAAGGACTCTTGGCTTGAAGTTTGGCACAGTCACCCAGGATTGATGGGGGTTCCCTGGGACTGATGGCCAACCTGATGTGTGGGATCCCATCTTCCGGAATCACAGAGCATAGATCATAGGGCCAGGGGTCTTTCTGGGGGAGCACCTAGACTTCTTGCTAATCTGGACAAGTCTCAAACACTTGAAAAAAGCCTTGTGATTACAGGCCCTTTTTTCTAGGCTGGCAGAGTAAAACAGATCTAAGAAACATACAATTCAAAATAGCCCTTTTGAGGAAAAGCCCGCATTATTGTTATTGTCCTTGAGTCTGGAAGGGACCTAGAAGAGATTTTCCTGTTGCCTGAGACATCAGTTTCCCTTGAAGAATGAAAGATAGCATTATGCCCACTTTAAAGATGAACCCACTGAGGACTACAGAGTTCTTTGCTGCAGT